ATTGTCAAAATCCAAATAAATTTTTTTACAATAGAATATTTCTTTTGTTGTTGTTTAATAAGATGAATTATTGTCAAAATCCAAAATTACGGTAAAAAAAATTCAAATCCAAAAGTTTAATTAATGCCACTTGACTATAATATCCTTAGTACATACTTGCTATTATTTTTTGTTTATTTAAATATTATTTTAAATCAAAAATTGATTAAAGAAACAAATTATTTAAACTAAATTTAAAGATATATTAAAGTAAAATCAAAAAATCATTTTGTGTTCACACTGTGTTCACAACTATTCACACTTATAAACTTAGCTTTATCTTTTAAACCCTTAAATTGGATCGAAACTAGATTGGAACTAGTTTAAATACTCCTTTTCACACTATATCAAATTTAAAGATAGGAGTGGAGTTATTACTATATCCTAAATAATTAATATCATACCATTTGAATATAATACCTATTATACCATTACATTACTTGATCCAAACTAAATTGAAACCAGTTTAAATATTCCTTTTCATATTACACCTAATTTTTTTATTATTTTTATTTAATCAATCAATTTAATTCAATTCAATTATTGTAATATCCCAAAATTTTATGCTATTTTAGCATTTAAGTAAGGGTTTTTGTGTGAGAAAATATTGTTTTGGGTTTAATAGCCAACATTCTGAAAGTTGAAGGGCTTAAAAGTGAAAGACATTTGGATAAGGATGGCTTCTTTTCTTTTTCTCCTTTTTTTCTTCTTTCTTTCCTTCCCAGCCTTGCGTGTTTCTGCTCTTCTTTTCTCCCCTGCAGCTCCCGAATTTCCCCCAAGCAAGCCGCCGGCACCAGCCTTGAGGAAACCGGTAGGAAGCTTGGATTTCTCCTTATTTTCTTGTTCTAGAACTGAAAAGGGAACCCAGAAACCTTCTCCCCCTGCTGGAAATCCGGATCTGCTGCTGCTCTGCTCCTCACCGCCGGCTGTTCCTTGCTTGTGGGTGCGAATTGCCTTGATTTTCTGGTAAGAACAGCCCCTAATTCCTTTGTTCTTGCTTGAATTGGCTTGGGTTAACTTTGATTGCTCTTATTTCCTCCAATTTTTGGGTAGTTCCGTGAGTTTCTCCCCTGCAATTCCCGCCGGCTCCTCCCCCAGCCAAGCTCGGTTTCTGCAGCTGGAAATTCTGGTATGGACAGCCTTTTAAGCCTAGAATTGTCCATTTATTTGCTGCCCTGTATTGTCCGAAAATTCTGTTGAAAATGGGGGAAATTTGATAGCTTTAGGACCATGATTTAGCTTAATTGAAGTGGAATTTATATGATTGAGTGTTAATGGATTGCTGTGTGATTGTTGGAGAGAAAACCCGTGAATTAGCTAGTGGTTTGGCCAATTTTGGAGAGTCCAGTTACTGTTCACGTCGTGGTACTGTTCATGGGTACTGTTCACGACACTGTTCACAGAACACTGTTCACACCCCGAGGGCCAATAATTAACGGGGATTTAAATGATTAGTTTGTGATATAAGAACAAATTTGGAGATATCTGATTATGTGGAGATTGATAGAAATAGTATTGTGATTAAGAGTGATCGTAATGATGATTTCAGCTTGAATTTGTGATAATCTGGTATTAATTCTGAGGTGTTTTGATTAGGTTCCCGATTGTTCTGTCAGTTAGTGCGTGAATTGAGTGCTCGGTTTTATGCGAGTGAGGTAAGTAAATTTATGGTAATGCCAGTACTGTTTTTAAA